TTTAGATATTTATGGCTACCATATATATATATATATATATCTCCTGAATAATTGCCTTTGTACAGTGGTGGGTAATGAAGATAAGTTTTAGATTTGAACCTGTCTACCTACATTTTTCTCTCTCTATGCTAAGCTTTAATAATTTTGATAATTTTTTTCCAGATGTATTTTGTTTTTTGTTTTTTTTGGCTCAATATTTTACAGTGTCCACCATTATAGTAATTTTACATAATCAAGACTTCTTTCCATACCTTAATAGGTTACTTGAATTCTGCAGAGTCTACATCCCATTCTCTTCCCACGATGGCAACTGTACCTTTTAGCAAATTAATAAATGAACAATTATTAACTGGGCACCTACTATGTACCAGGCTCTGAGCTAGGAATTTCCACATTGTGTTCTTTTCTCCCTGAAGACAATCTTGTTTTATAAGGGAGGAAAATGAAGTCCTGGCTTGTTAGCAATGAACAGAAGTAAGATTTGAATCCTGTTTGACTATAAGAACTTTCTCTCCCTCCCTCCCTTTGTTCTTCCCTCCCTCCCTCCCTTCCTTCCTTTCATTTTTCCCTTTTTATTGAATTTATTGGGGTGACACCAGTTAAGAAAATTATATATATTTCAGGTGCACAATTCCCCAACACGTCATCTGTACACTATATTTGTGTTCACCACTCCAAATGATCTTTTTTTGTTAATCCTTACCAGAGGATACTTTTCAGAGCGATAGAGGGAAGGGGAGAGAGAAAGAGAGAGAAAGAGAGAGAAACACTGATGTGAGAGAGACACATGGATTGGTTGTCTCCCGCACAGGCCTTGACCGGTGTCCAGGATTGAACCTGCAACCCAGGTATGTGCCCTTGACTGGGAATCGAACCCTCAACTCTTTGGGTCTCGGGCCTGTACTCTTATCCACTGAGCTACACTGGCCAGAGCTCAAAGGATCTTTTTAAAAAAAATATTTTTATTGATTTTGGAAAGGAAGGGAGAGGGAGAGAGAGTTAGAAACATCAATGATGAGAGAGAATCATTGATTGGCTGCCCCCTGCACACTCCCTACTCGAGATGGAGCCTGCAACCCAGGCATGTACCCTGACCAGGAATGTAACTGTGACCTCCTGGTTCACAGGTTGATGCTCAACCACTGAGCCACACTGGCTGGGATTTTTTTTTTATTGTAACATTAAATGAGAAAAGTTTAGAAGATGCTAGATTTATTTGTGTGTATATATACATACACATATGTGAATATTCATGTAAAACTGCATATATGCTTATGTAATACATAACTATGCCTACAACCTCTTCCTTTTTCAGAAGTAGCAGCTATAGCCACAGTAGCAATCTTTATACTTATTTTCCATTCCTGTTTGAAGGCTCCCTTCATAGGTAATAGCAAATAACTTCCTTGAAATGTGGAAAAAGCCCCATTAGTGTCTTAGTGTGCTGTGTGAAGACTAACACATTCTCAATCCAGCTTTTTCCAAACAAAACTTGTTCATTTAGAACTATTCTTCTAAGTTTTATCTCTATAGTTAATTTTTACTTTTGACTATATTTAGGTGATTTTTTTTTTTCACTCTGAACAATTTTGAGACCAAATACCGGTGGTGGTGGTGGTTGTTGTTTTGTGTGTGTATGATCTTTTTTTTTTCTAGGATTATTTAAAAAATTCAAAAATCATTGCTGTTTCTGTACATGGATAGCTCTTTTAGATTCTCAACAGCTCTTCCCTTAGTCTTTACATTCCCAATATAAATAAATATACTCTAGATTTTCAGGACATGGTGCATGTGCTCTCAGTAGTTGCCTTTTTGCACAAGAAAAGTTAGATTCCTTAAAAACAAACAAAAATCCAAAATAACAGTAACACCAATAGTAAAACTCCTCATTCACTGCAGTAAATATATATATAGTATATTTTTAAGATGCAAAGTCTGATTTTGAAAAGAGACTTATGTATATATGTACCTTATTTACATGTTGGAGGCTCTTTCAAAGATTTATAATTAGTAGTAGGAAAGAAACTGAATTTTGTTTGTAATGGTACTTCCTTTGTAGTTTTAGAGAGGTAGAAAATTTAAATTTTTTGTTTAATAATGTATATTTTTAAAGAAAAATTTAGCTAATGTTAAATGGGTTTTAAGTGATAATTAAAATTAAGATAAAGATGTTGAGAATAAGTATCTCCTATAAGCCCTGCTCCAAAAGGTTTGTCTCTAGCACTATTTAAATTTATATTAGATCCATGCTATTTTTCTATATTCTCAAAAGTACTTAGAATTAATAATTAGTTATTGACATTACAAAAAGTTTTATTTTGAAAAAATATTTGACTTCAACAAAAGAAATAAATTAATCAGTACAAAATTTTGAAATTTAAAAAAATTGCTATCAATTAACTGTTCCACTATGATAATTATTATTCTAATACTTTATTTGCTGCCTCTATTCAAAGTTGTGGAATTTGTAAGAAGAACCATGATCAGCATCTTCTTTTGCTGTGTGATACCTGTAAACTCCATTACCATCTTGGATGTCTGGACCCTCCTCTTACAAGGATGCCAAGAAAGACCAAAAACAGTTATTGGTAAGTACAATGGAGAGAATGTAGATGTTAGAATTGGGTTGGCTTCATTTCAGCAGTGTAAGATGACGTGTAATATTGCTTTATAATAAAGTGTGTGGCACATTTTAAAATTGATACTTCCATAAGTATTTTTATTCAACTCTATTGAGGTATAATCGACAAAAATGGAATATATACTTTAAGGTGTACAACTTAATGATTTGATTGTAAAATAATCAACACAACTAAGTTAATTAACATATTCATAACTTGACATTGTTGTTTTCTATTTTTGTGATAAAAATGCTTCTGACATACATGTTTATAATAGTATCATGAATAACACAGTAATAGCTTATTTTTGAGAAATGAATTTTAAGTTAATGGAGGCTGTTTTGGTATTTTAGTGGATTTTTAAAGCATGAATTCTGTCTAGTGTGTTTATAATTCTCTTTTACTTCATTATAAGAATTTCTCAAATGCTTTATTTGTTTTGAAGTTGAATTAATTTATCAAGAATTTGCCTGCGTATTCATGCTTTTATTTCTAATTTACTATTTTATTTCTAAATTAGGGTCACTGAAGGCTTTACATCTGGTATTTGTCACTTGTGCTAGTTATATATAAGTTAAACTATTCTTTGCAAATCTAGAAACATTTGACATGTTTCTTAATTATTTTTTTCCCCTTAACCTGGGCATATTGAATCACTACAGATGTTTGATAAAAGTTTATGATACCTATGTTGAGTTCTATCCTTTTCTTAATTTTAGTCCAAGGGACAGATGTTCAAATTTTAATAGGTTGATTCAAAATAGGAAGAATATGGGACACACAAAACTTTGGAATGGACATGATATTTTTTAATACAAATTACCTTTCTAGTTTTAGAAAAGAATGAACCCCAAATTCTTAAATGGTAGTCTATACAAAAAGTCATGTGTGTTTCTCAAACATATTAAACATTTGTTTTACTCATTGTTGTATCTCATGAAGCTACCTCTATTCATTGTATTAGGAAACTTACATTTTTTTCACCACTATACAGGATTGATTTTCATAATGTTCTTTTGTCAGTTTGTCATGAGACACTCATACTTGTTTGCTCTTCTCGAATATAGTGGAGTGTATTTCTTTTGATATTTATGTGCTTTTGAAACCAGATTTTAAGAAGATACTGCTATATCTTATTGGAATGCCAGCAGTATTAATAAGTATCCTAAGTGAGTTTCTAAAATGAAAGTCATTTTATTAGTCTCCAGGGCCAGGGTGCTTAAGCCATGATCTTGGACATGGAGATGTGTAGTTCTCTCCCTAAGTGGGATTATGCACTTGTCTGCAAGCTCTGGGTTTAGTGGATGAGAGTTTCTGGAATAACTTTAGATGAAAGAGCTGGGTCATTGAAGCAAACAATGTCCCAGAAGCCGGGACCTTGGCTTCCACTCCTCAGGACCGAGCCCCCAGGTTTTACTCTCTTTGCAACCAGCCAGGACATTTAAGAAAGGGACTGTCTGCAGCTCCGAAGGGAGAGAGGGACTCCAGAACCCATAATAGTCCTATCTGAAAAAGACTAAAAAGGGCCAACTGATGGTTCCACCTGAAAGATATCTTGTGACTATAAAAGAACCCCAGGTGACTCGTCATAGCAGGTGAAAGGTTAATTTTTAAATTGACACAAGAGTCACCTACTCGGTCTTAACAGAACATATGAGACCCTTGACGTCCTTGGCTTGTACCAATATAAGGGAAGACAGGCAGCCTAAAAAACAATATTTTAACCCACCTCTCAGCTGCCACCTTTAAGATTGTTTAGTTTCTCAACAATTCCTGGTAATGCCAGGATATCCTGCTTCCTTAATGCGAAGTGATTTAATGATGGCCCTAGTATTAATATCCAGTTTCTTAGTTTAACCCAGAAAAATGACCACTCTGTAACCAAGACTCATTCAACCCTCAGTTAGATTCCATCCCATCCCATATATAGTCTGCTGTCAACCCAATAGTCTGGGAGAAGGTACTACTTGGAAGGGCCACCCAGGTACCCCCTGTATAAATTAAACTGAAAGAAATGGCTGGATACCCCCATAAATGACAGTACCCTCTGAGACCAGAAGCCCATAGGGGACTAAATCCCCTCATTGACAAGTTCCTTCAGCATGGACCCAGTGCCTTCTGGCCTCCAAAGTTTCTAAGAAATCTACTGATAATCTTACTGAGGATTCTGTGTGACGATTCTGAATTTCTCTTTCTGCTTTCAAGAGTCTCTGTGTTTTTTTCTTTGCAAAATTTAATGATAGTGTCTTAGTGTGGGATTCTGAGTTTATCTAGCTTGGTGTTCACTGAGCTTCTTAGATATTTATACTCATGTAGTTCCATCAAATTTGAGTTTTCAGTAATTTCTTCGAACATCCTCTCTGTCCCTTTCTCTCTTCTCCTTCTGGGACTTCCACAATGCAAATGTTGGTCTGCCTGCCGATGTCACACGTCCCTTAGGCTCTGCTCTTTTCTTCAGTCTTTTTCTTTGTGTTGGACATATTTGATAATTCCCACTGATTCTTATGCCTGCTTAACACTGCCTTATTTCCCACAAAAAGTGAATTTTTCATTTCAATTGTTGTACTTTTCAGCTCCAGATTTCTTTTTGCTTTATTTTTTTGGCTTTCTCTTTATTGATATTTCCATTTTGTTCATACATTGTTTTCTAGACTTTCTCCACAACTTCTTCTAGCTTAGTGAGCATCTTTATAACTGTTGTTTTAAAGTCTGTCTTATAGATCTGCCATCAAGTATCCTGACAGTTTCTGTTTACTTAATTTTTGTTCCTTAAATGGACTATACTTTTGCCTTTGTTTGTAAGCTTTGTTTTTTTTGGTTAAAAACTGGATATTTAAATTTAATAATGTGGTAACTCTGGAAATGAAATTCTCCTCTATTTCCAGGGTTTGCTATTTTGTTATTATTATTATTTATTACTAGAGGCCCAGTGCACGAATTCGTGCATGGGTGGGGTCCGGCAGGCCTGCCTGGTGTGGTTGTGGGGTGGGGGGGGGATAAGGGACACAGGAGGTTGGCCAGCCGGCCCTGCCCCCTGGTCGAACTCCTGGTCGAGGGGAAAATTTGCATATTAGCCTTTTATTATATAGGATTATAGTGGGATGTCTTTGCCTGAGGTATAAACTTATGGTCTTATGTCTTTCCTGAGCTTTTCCCTAAGCAACCATGGTCACTTTCTAATTTTTATTTTGCACTTATTTTTGAATGACCTAGTCTTTAATGTATGGTTCCCAAAAGGGGAAGAAGAAAAAAATGAAGGTGGAGGGATAAAAGATGCCAGTCTTTTAAGTTCTGGAAGTCATTTCAGACTGAGTATCTTGCAGTAATAGAGGGAGGTAACCCACCTCTTTGTCCATGCTTCTATGATCAAAAGTAGCAATCAGAGCACAGAACCCAGTATTTGAAGTTAGGGCTTGTTTTGCCCACCTTGGATCCTAACTACTGTGTGCAAGTGTAGGAATATGTGCACAACTGCCTGCCATGTGGCTTGGAATGGGCATTGGGCTAGCTGCTAGTAGGCAAGAGCTGAAGTTGACTGGAATTAACAACAGTTTGCCTGTGCAAGCCTTTCCCTGGAAGTTGCAAGTCTTCAATAGATTCCAGAGTTCCAAAATAGTTACATCAGATAGATTTGGCTAGTGTAATTATCTTCCAGCTAGAGAAACAGATTCCTGTTGCATGTTACTCTGTCATCTTCTCCCCATCCCCATGTTTTTAAAAATGCTTCATCAAATTCTTTTAATGAGTAAGTTTTTATATTTCCTCTTTTTATGTGATTTTCAGGTATCACAGTACATGTCACTTAAGGAAAAGTCATGATTTTCAAAGGGAAACCTTTTTGATTAATGCTGAATTTCTTATGTTAGTTCCTTCACTTAAACATGCAGCATTATTACATATCTATATTATGAAAGGCCTGTGGCCCTAACACTGTAACGACCAAAGACTGGCATGGGTGGGCGGGGCTGCGAGCACGGCCGTGGGTGGGTGGGGCTGCGCGATTTTGCACACTGGGCTTTTAGTGTTCTTATAACATTTATAGGGGTACATGGAATTACCTTAAGTATATACATACTGTTGCCATTCTTATTGGAATGTATATGCCTTTCTGTATGTATAGTCATTATATACCCTGTGACCACATATACCAATGTATATTTTTATATATTCTTCAAAATGTATGTTTTTATATATTCTGAATTTTATATTTGTAGAAACCAATGCTAACACTAGGAGGTAAAAATAAATGTATGAACTTATATTTTTTCTTTATATAGGCAGTGCTCAGAATGTGACCAGGCTGGGAGCAGTGACATGGAAGCAGAGATGGCCATGGAAACTTTACCAGATGGGACCAAACGATCAAGGAGGCAGATTAAGGAACCAGTGAAATTTGTTCCACAGGATATGCCTCCAGAACCCAAGAAGATTCCAATAAGAAACACGGTAATTTATTCCCTATTTATTGTATTCATCACAAAAATTTGAGGCCAAAACTGAAGAGGTGAGAAAGATAAAACATGAACATATACATAGGAGCCAAAGAAATCAACATGTATATTGCTATTGGTCATTTTTAGGACCGTATTGTTTTACATTATGAAATATACCATACATACCTCAGAATTTATAGTTTATATATTCCACCTAAAGCATAATAATAATGAATACCTGTTATTAATATAATGAACTTACCAAGCAACTTCAAAAATAGAGCATTACTAAAGCCTTTGGAGTCCACTGTGAATTCCTGGGTAATCATATTCCCATCCATTTAACCCAGAAGTCACCCCCTTCCTCAAATTTATATTTCTCATCTATTTTTTTAAATTACACTCCAAATGTATGTAGTCATAAATAATAAATGGTTTTTCTGGTTTTGAATTTTGTACGAATGGAGTCACACTTTTTTCTCCTGTTATTGATACTTTGACCAACAATATATTGATTTGATTCATACATGCTGGTCATTTATTTTCACTAAGGTGTGATTTTCTTTTTTGAAAGAATAGATCATTATTTATTTTATCTTTTGTTCTATAGACTGCCAGTTTTGCTGTTTGCATCTTTCTTTTATAAACAGAAAAAAGTATTTAAGTATTTTTGTAAATGTCTCCCGCAGCATGGTAACAAGGAGTTAGAGTAAATACTAAGATGTGGCTTTGTTTAACTACAGGATATTTGCCCCTTCAGTTTTGTAAGATAATTCCACTGTTTCCCAAACCAGTTTATACTCATACCAGTCATATATAATGTTACTATTGATCTCAAACTTGTTTTGTCCACTGTTTTAATGCTCTTTAATGTTATACATATAAAATGGTATATCATCGCTCTATATTACATTTCCCTCAATGCTAATGACATTGAACATCTATTTATATATAATCTACACTAATAAAAGAGAAACATGGTAATTAGTGTACGACCGCTACCCTTCCCATTGGCTAATCAGCATATCCTTATGCAAATTAACTGTCAGCCAAGATGGCGGCCGGCAGCCATGCGCTGAAGCGAACAGGGAGGCTTGCTTGCTCCAGTGACGGCGGACTCCAA